CCTCTAGTGGCTGTGGTTTGAGTCGCGTGAATTTGCTCGGAGAAATAACACGCACTATTTAAAGACGTTATTCAGTAGTGCTCTCAGATATTTTCCTCGTGTGCATTTATTGATAGATGGGTTGTTATATTTAACGGAAACTCTTTTGGGTTGTGTCAGAAATAATGTCATCAGCGCGTGCAACTTCTTCACGCGATCATAGAATTTTAACACGTTTAATTTCCGGACCGTGTTACTGTGGCACATACAATATGTGGCTGGCAGCAGTCACAACAGGGTCAATAGGTTTAGCACAAGTTAAGCGGCACCTCGTGTAAACGGGGTTACGGTCGCAGACATTGGACAGCACATTGGAGGGTGGGGTGGGGTGAGATGGAGTGGATGAGGTGGGTGGGGTGGAGTGTGATGTCGTTGGATGGCTGGTGCGAAGGCGGTACTGGATTGAGACTGGGTTGGATGAAGTGAGATAGGATGGAGTGGGTGGCTGGTGTGGGTAGGATGGAGTGGGTGATTGGTGTGGGTAGATGAGTTGGGTGGATGTGGGGTAGGATGGATGGAGGTGGAGATGGAGTGGGTGGATGGTGTGGATAGGATGGAGTGGTGGCTGTGTGGGTAGGATGGAGTGGGTTTGGATGGTGTGGTAGAATGGAGTGGGTGAGTGTGTAGATGGATGTGGTAGGATGGAGTGGGTATGGTGGGAGGATGGAGTCGGGTGCGGAGGTGTGAAGGCATGGAGTGGGTGGAGGGTTGGAAGGTAGGATGGAGTGGGTGGATGGTGTGGTAAGGATGGAGTGGGTGGCTGGTTGGGTAGGTATGGAGTGGGTGCTGTGTGGGTAGGCATGGAGTGGGTGGATGGTGTGGGTAGGTGCGAGTGGTGGATGGTGTGGGTAGAATGGCAGTGGGTGATGGTGTGGGCTAGGATGGAGTGGGTGATGGTGTGGGTAGAATGGAGTGGGTGGAATGGTGTGGGTAGGATGGAGTGGGTGGGACTCGTGTGGGTAGGATGGAGTGGGTGATGGTGTGGGTTAGGAGGAGTGGTGATGGTGTGGTAGAATGAGTGGGTGCAGGTGGGGGTCAAGGAGAGTGGGTAGATGGTTGTGGTAGGATGGAGTGGGTGTGATGGTGTGGGTAGAATGGAGTGTGGTGGATGGTTGTGGAATAGATGGGACGTGGGTGAGATGGTGTGGGTAGGATGGAGTGGGTGGATGGTGGTGGGTAGGATGGGTGGTAGGATGGTGTGGGTCAGGAGTGTGGTGGATGGTGTGGGGTAGGATGGAGTAGGTGGTATGGTGTGGGTAGGATGAGAGTGGGTAGGATGGAGTGGGTGGATGGTGTGGGTAGATGGAGTGGGTGGATGTGTGGCGGTAGGATGGAGTTGGCGTGGATGGGTTGGGTAGGAGATGGAGTGGGTGGATGGTGTGATAGGATGGAGTGGGTGGATGGTGTGGGTAAGATGGAGTGGTGGATGTGTGGAGGATGGAGTGGGTAGATGGGTGGTAGGATGGAGTGGTGGATGGTGTGGTAAGGATGGAAGGGTAGATGGTGTGGGAGGATGGAGTGGTGGATGTGTGGGTAGAAATGGAAGTGGTGGATGGTGGGGTAGGATGGAGTGGGTGATGGTGTGGAGAATGGTGTGGGGGTAGAAATGGAGTGCGGTGGATGGTGTGGTAGATGGAGTGGGTGGGAATGGTGTGGGTGAGGATGGAGTGGGTGGATGGTGCTGGGTGTGATGGAGTGGGTGGATGTGGTGTGGGTAGGATTGGAGTGGGTGGATGGTGTGGGTAGGATGGAGGGTGGATGTGTGTAGGATTGAAGTGGTGGGTGGTTGGAGGTTGATGGGTGTAGAATGGAGTGGGTGGATGTGGGTGTGGTGAGGTGTGGTGTAGGTGGAGTGGGTGGATGGTGTGGGTAGGATGAGTGTGGATTGGTGTGGGTAGATGGAGTGGGTGGATGGTGTGGGTCAGATGGTAGTGGGATGGTGGGTAGATGGAGTGGTGAGGTAGATGGAGTGGGTGGATGGTGTGGAGGATGGAGTGGGTGACGGTGTGGGTAGGATGGAGTGGGTGGATGTGTGGGTGATGGAGTGGGTGGATGGTGTGGGTAGGATGGAGTGGGGATGGTGGTGGGTAGGATAGGAGTGGGTGGATGGTGTGGGTAGGATGGAGTGGTGGACTGGATGTGTGGGTAGGAAAGAGTGGATGATGGTGTGGGTAGGATGGAGTGGTGATGGTGTGGTAGAATGGAAGTGGGTGGATGGTGTGGGTAGGCATGGAGTGGGTGGATGGTGTGGTAGGACTGAGTGGGTGGATGGTGTGGGTAGACATGGAGTGGGTGGATGGTGTGGGTAGGAGGAGTGGTGTGGGATGGTGTGGGTAGATGGAGTGGGTGGCTGGTGTGGGTAGAGAGAGTGGGTGAATGGTGTGGGAGAGGAGTGGGTGGATGGTGTGGGTAGGATAGAGTGGATGGATGTGTGGGGTAGGATGGATGTGGTGGATGGTGTGGTGGATGGAGTGGTGGAATGTATGGGTAGGATAGAGTGGATGGGATGGTGTGGGTAGGAGGAAGTGGGTGTGGGTGTGTAATGGTGTGGGTGAGGTTGGAGATGGAGTGGATGAACTGGTGTGGGTAGATGAGTGGGTGATGGTGTGGTAGATGGAGTGGTGATGGTGTGGGTAGGAATGGAGTGGGTGGATGGTGTGGTAGGATGGAGTGGGTGCTGGGGGGAGATGGTGTGATGGGTGGAGGATAGAGTGGATGGATGGTTGGGTAGGATGGAGTGGGTGGATGTGTGGGGTAGAATGGAGTTGGGTGATGGTGTGGGTAGGATGGAGTGGGTGATGGTGTGGTAGAAGTGGATGGGTGGATGGTGTGGTAGGATGGAGTGGGTGTGATGGTGTGGGTAGGATGAGTGGGTGGATGGTGTGGGTAGGATGGAGTGCGGTTGTGGTGTGGGTAGAATTGGAGTGGGTGACTTGGTGGGGTAGAATGGAGTGGGCTGGATGGTGTGGTAGAGATGGTGGATGGTGTGCGGTAGGATTGGATGGGATGGTGTGGGTAGGATGGATGTGGGTGGATGGTGTGGTAAAGATGGAGTGGTGGATGGTGTGGGTCAGCGATAGAGTGATGGATGTGTGGGTAGGATGGAGTGGGTGATGGTGTGGGTAGAAATGGAGTGGGTGGATGGTGTGGTAAGGATGGAGTTGGGGAATGGTGTGGGTAGGATGGAGTGGGTGGATTGCGGTAGTGAGTGGGTGAACGGGTGGAAGATGGAGTGGGTGGATGTGTGGTAGGATGGAGTGGGGTGGATGGTGTGGGTAGGATGGAGTGGGTGGCTGGTGGGGTAGGAATGGAGTGGGTGGATGGTGTGGGTCAGATGGATGGGTGATGGTGTGGATATGATGGGGTGACGATGGTGTTAGTGGATGGTGGCTGTTGTGGGTAGGATGGAGTGGGTGATGTGGGTCAGATGGAGTGGGTGGATGGTGTGGGTAGACATGGAGTGTTGGATGGTGTGGGTAGGATGGAGTGGTGGAATGGTGTGGGGTAGAATGGAGTGGGTGATGATGTGTGGTAGGATGGAGTTGGTGGATGGTGTGGGAGGATGGAGTCGGGTGGATGGTGTGGGTAGGATGGAGTGGGTGGATGGTGTGGTAGAATGGAGTGGGTGAGGGTGGCGGATAGGATGGAGTGGGTAGATGGTGTGGGTAGGATGGAGTGGTGATGTGTGGGTAGAATGGAGTGGGTGGATGGTGTGGATAGCGATGGAGTGGTATGATGTTGGGTAGGAGGAATGGTGGATGGTGGAGGGGTGGGTTAGGAATGGTAGTGGGTAGGAATGGGTGGGTAATGGGTGGGTAGGATGTGAGTGGAGTGGTGATGTGTGGTAGGATGGAGTGGGTAGGCGATGGAGTTGGGTGGATGGTGTGTGGTAGAATGGAGTGGTGGATGGTTGTGGTAGATGGAGTGGGTGGATTGGGTGGGTAGGAGGAGTGGGTGGATGGTGTGGATAGATGAGGTGGGTGATGGTGTGGTAGGATGGAGTGGGTGGATGTGTGGGTAGGATGGAGTGGGTAGATGGTGTGGTAGGATGGAGTGGGTGATGGTGTGGGTAGGATGGAGATGGAGATGGTGTGGGTGGAGGAGAGAGTGGGTGGTGGTGTGGGAGAGAGAGTGGGTGGTGGTGTGGGAGAGAGAGTGGGTGGTGGTGTGGGGTAGAATGGAGTGGGTGGATGCGTGTGGGTGAATGGGTCGGTGGCTGGTGTGGGTTAGGATGGAGTGGGTGGATGGTGTGGGTAGGATGGAGTTGGGTGGATGTTGGTAAGGATGGAGTGGGTGGATGGTGTGGTAGGATGGAGTGGGTGGATGGTGTGGGTAGGATGGAGTGGCGTGATGGTGTGGGTAGGAATGGAGTGGGTGATGGTGTGGGTAGGATGAGCTGGGTGGATGGTGTGGGTAGGATGGAGTGGGTGCTGGTGGTGGCGGTAGGATGGAGTGGGTGGAGTGGTGGGGTAGGGATGGAGTGGGTGATGGTGTGGGGTAGGATGAGTGGGTGGATGGGTGGGTAGGATGGAGTGGGTGCGATGGTGTGGGTAGGATGGATGGGTGATGGTGTGGGTAGGATGGAATGTGGGTGGATGGTTGTTGGGTAGGATTGGAGTGGGTGGATGGGTGTGGGTAGATGGAGTGGTGGTGGTGGGTGGGTAGGATGGAGTGGGTGGATGGTGTGGGTAGGATGGAGTGGGTGGATGGTGTGGGTAGGAATGGAGTGGGTGGAATGTGTGGAGGATAGAGTGGATATGGGTGTGGGTAGATGGAGTGGGTGGATGGTGTGGGTAGAATGGATGGGTGGATGGTGTGGGTAGGATGGGATGGTGGATGGTGTGGGTAGGATGGAGTGGGGGGATGGTGGGGAGAATGCGACGTGGGTGGCATGGCATTGGGTAGGATGGAGTGGGTGTGATGGTGTGGGAGGATGGAGTGGGTGGCTGGTGTGGGTAGAGATGGAGTGGGTGGATGTGTGGGAGGATGAGTTGGTGGAGGTGTGGTGAGGATAGAGTGGATGGATGGTGTGGGGTAGGAATGCGAGTGGTGGATGGTGTGGGTAGGATGGAGTGGGTGGATGGTGGGTAGGATGAGTGGGTGGATGGTGGGTAGATGGAGTTGGGTGGATGGTGTGGGTAAGGATGGAGTGGGTTGATGGTGTGGGTAGGATAGAGTGGTGATGGTGTGGGGTAGGAATGGAGTGGGTGGATGGTGTGGGTAGAATGGAGTGGGTGGCTGGTGTGGGTAGGAGGGGGTGGATGGTGTGGGTAGAATGAGTGGGTGGATGTGTGGGTAGGATGGAATGGGTGGATGGTGGGTCAGGAATGGAGTGGGTGGCTGGTGTGGGTAGGATGGAGTGGGTGGATTGGGTGGCGTAGGAAAGAGTGGACTGGATGGTGTGGGTAGGTATGGAGTGGGTGGATGGTGTGGGTAGAAGGAGTGGGTGGAATGGTGTTGGGTTGATGGAGTGGGTGGATGGTGTGCGGTAGGAATGGAGTGGGTGGATGTGTGTGGGTAGGATGGAGTGGGTGGATGTGTGTGGGTAGGATGGAGTGGTGGATGGTGTGGGTAGGACTGGATGGGTGGCTTGGTGTGGGTAGAAGGAGTGGTGGATGGTGGGGTAAGAATGGATGGTGTATGGTGTGGGTGGAGGGAGTGGGGATGGTGTGGGTATGGATGAGGGGTGGATGGTGTGGGTAGGATAGCGCTGGATGATGGTGTGGAGGACTGAGTGGTGATGGTGTGGTTAGAGATGGAGTGGGTGGATGGTGGTGGGTAGGATGGAGTGGGTGGATGGTGTGGGTAGGAAGGAGTGGGTGGATGGTGTGGGTAGGATGGAGGTGGGTAGATGTCGTGGTAGATATGGAGTGGTGATGGTGTGGCGTAGAGAGTGGGTGGATGGTGTGGGTAGAATGGAGTGATGGTGGATAGGATGGGTGGGTAATGGGTGGGTAGGATGGTAGTGGGTAGGAGGTGAGTGGTTGATGGTGTGGGTAGAATGGAGTGGGTGGATGGATGGATGAGTGGTGGATGGGCGTGGGTAGGATGAGAGTGGGTGGAATGGTGGGGTAGGATGGAGTGGGTGGATTGTTGGGTAGGATGGAGTGGGTGGATGGTGGTGGGTAGCGATGGAGTGGGTGGATGGTGGTGGGTAGAATGGAGCTGGGGATGTGTGGAAGGAATGGAGTGGGTGGATGGTGTGCGGTAGGATGGAGTGGGTGGAGTGGTGTTGGGTAGAATGGAGTGGGTGGATGGTGTGGGTAGGATGGAGTGGGTGGTGTGTGGGTAGGAGAGTGGCTGATGGGTGGTCGATGGTGGGTAGGATGATGGTCTGGTGTGGGTAGAGATGGAGTGGGTGGATGTGGGAGGTAAATGGAGTGGGTGCGATGGTGTGCGGTAGGAATAGAGTGGATGGGTAAGCTGAGAAGAGTTTTTGGTGGAATTGCGGTTTGGCTGGATGGGTGGGTGGGTCGTTGTGGGATGATGTGTGTGTAGAGCGGGGGTGAGATGAGTGGATGGAATGAGTTAGTGTGGGTTGGGGTAGTGTGGGTTGGAGCGGTGTGGATGAGGTAGTATAAGTTGGAGTAGTGTAGGATGGGGTAGTGTGGGTTTGGAACGTGTGTGGGATGGTAATGTGGATTGGGAGCGGTATGGAATGAGGTAGGGTTGATTGGGTAGTATGAGTTGGGCGTTGATCGAATCGAGGTAGGGTTTGAGTGGGGTAGTAGGTTGGGCGGTGTAGAATGAGGTGGGTTATGGGGGTAGTATGGATTGGGGCGGTGTAGAAGAGGTAGGGTTGATGAGGTAAGTATGGTTGGGGGTGTAGAATGAGGTAGGGTGATGGGTAGTATGGATGGGGCGTGTAGAATGAGGTAGGGTTGCATGGGTAGTATAGATTGAGGCGGTGTAGAATGAGGTAGGTTGATGACGTAGTATGGTTTGGGGGCGTGTAAGAATGAGGTAGGGTGGATGGGGTAGTAAGGGGGGGGGATTGGGGCGGGTGTAGAATGAGGTAGGGTTGATGGGGAGTATGGATGGGGCGGTGTGAATGAGGTAGGGTTGATGGGCGTTAATGGATTGGGGCGGTGTAGAATGCAGGTAGGGTTGCATGAGGTAGTATGGATTGGGGCGGTGTAGAATGAGGTAGGGTTGATGGGGTAGTATGGATTGGGGCGGTGTAGAATGAGGTAGGGTTGATGGGGTAGTATGGATTGGGGCGGTGTGGGATGGTGTACGTAGGTTGGATCGGGTGGGCTGGGCTTGAATGGAGCATAACGAGACAGACAATAATCAGCCTCGTATATTAGAGGACGTAAGTTCCCACTTATCGTATGTCGCCGTCGTATATCGTATCGCCGTCGTAGATCGTATGTCGTATGTCGCCGCTCGCCACGCCCACATCCCGTCATGTTACTGAGTTTCCGTGACTTCTTGATGCCACTTGTGCGCTGTGATAAACTTATTCCACGATGGCGACTCGGAGTAATGTTTGCCAATTTGCGTGCACAGTGTTTACTTCGCCTCTTTACACGCAAAAAAAGCCGCTATAGATGTCTAACGAACCTACACACCTCGGTAAACACTCGCATGGGAGACGCGGACAGAACTCCGCCGGAGCGTAGCTGCGTGATTTCCGTGCGCAATGCCGCGAATACCAGCGGAAATTTGTGGAAGCGAAGAGAGTTCTGAATTTGACGCGATGATTGCAACGTCAGTGTGCAGTCAAATGCACAGTCATCGACCGTCAATCATTTCGCGAAATCTATGAAAAAATAATCGCAAAATATAATACCTTGATATGCGAATTTGACGTACGTGACAAAATTTTGAACGCGCTTTCGTCCCATATTAACCGATGTTGTATTATAGGTTACATGGTAAGTAGGTGTAGAGCGTGGACGTTATAAAGCTACGGACACATTGCTCGTATTGCATGCAAATGATGCAGTTTACATAATTCCTTACTATTTGCGTTGTCTTGCGCGCAGCAACGAGTAAGCGTATAGACAGTAAGTAGTTCTTTAGAATTACAATATAGCGTGGTTTACACATTTCGGATGAAAAATACGACTCCCAAGACGGCAACAAATGTGGCACGCTGTCGGCAACCTGCTTAAGCACCTAAGCACACAAACACACACACACACACTCATTCATACACACACGCACGCACACACACACACACACACACACACACACACACACACACACACACACACGCGCGCGCGCGCACACACACACACACACACACACACACACACACACGTATACACACACACCACACGCACACACACACACATCACCACACACACACACACCACACATACACACACACTACCACGACTAACACACACACACACACACCACACACACACACACACACACACACACAGCATGCCACACGCACACACCACGCAAACCTTCACCCTTACCCAGACCCCCCGCAACACGCACACACGCACGCACGCGCAGACACACACACCCTATACAATTCAGTATTCCAGTATGTTCACGCCTTCGCGATGTATTCATTTCATCAGAGCTGAATGATCTACAGATTATTCATGAAGGCGTAAGTTATTCAACTCTAATATTATCAATTAAAATCCTATGGTCTTAAGACATCCATACTACAGTAATATATATGTAAGTTCTCGATATCGTCTCATCAATAACCCATTAATATAATTACTTGCAAATTAATCGTGTCGTAATCTTATTAGATATAATGACAAAAAAACGGGGCACGTCTAACGAATACGTTATACACGATGTTTACGGCCTTCGCCCTTCACGATCAATCATAAGTGCACGAATGCGGATTTATGTTCACGCCACGTCGGTCTATATTGGGCAGAACCCATATGGATTTCACGTTTGGCTTACGTGTCTATGCATATGGACCCCGATTTAACAAAGTCAATTAACACAAGAGATATCTGGGCACAGTAATCTGCGTGTAAATTAACAGCTTCTATTTGCTATGCATACATGACAAGGCGCATTGTAACGGATCTTGCGATCATCGAGGCATCGTTTCCCGCTTCACGCGATCACAGATACCGATAACTAAGCGTAGCGCTTCGCGTTTGGAAAATCCATTCTCGACTCCCGCGTCGTATCCATCTGAGCTATCATGGGACAATCACGCGTCGGCAGTTTTTGATGCCAACAAGCTCGTACTGAGAGATACCGCATCGTCACCGGATCCTGCTAAACTAACGTAACGAGCACGAGTCCGAATTTACGCACGCATGCGGGCACGCATGCACCTACACGCACAGTCACGCACGCACGCGGGCACGCATGCACCTACACGCACAGTCACGCACGCACGCGGCCACGCAAATACACACGTACTGTCACACTAACACACGCACAAACACACACGCGCGCACGCGGGCACGCAGACAGACAGACAGACAGACAGACAGACATACACACACACACACACACACACACACACACACACACACAGAGAAACAAACAAACACACACACACACACACACACACACACACACACACACACACACACACACACACACACACACACACAAACTCACACACACACACACACATAAACGCGCGCACAAACACCACACACACAACACACACACACACACACACACACCGCACGCACACACACACACACACACACACACCACACACACACACACACCACACACACACACGCACACGCACACGCACACGCACGCACATATACTTAGAGAGAAAGAGAGAGAGAAAGAGATACAGACAGACAGAGACGCGCGGTCGCGCGCGGCGCGGATCATACACACACACACACACACACACACACACACACACACACACACACACACACACACATACACACACACACCACACACACACACACACACACACACAACACACACACACACATATATATACACACACACCACACACAACACACACACTACACACACACACACACACACACATACACACACACATACACACACAAACACACACACA